GGAGCAAGTCGGCAGGCCTCCAGGGTGGAGTTCCAAAGAGCATGGGCAGAACATCTGAAAGCCCGCCTGCCAATAGTGGAACAGTTAGAGCTGGGGACATGAAGCAGGCCAGCACTCACTCAGTGAAGTCAGTGTCCAAGTCGGTAGGGGTTAAGAAGGTCGCAGCAGAAGGGTGGGGAAAGACCATGGAGGGATTTAAAGGTGAGAACAAGGATCTTGAACTTGATAAGATGGAGAGATGGGGAGCTAAGCGAGGATCAGGATGGTATGCTAGTCGATCTTGCAACTCCCTAGGACACAGGCTGCAGAGTTCTGGATTTTGCCATTAATCACTGAATTTGCCCACTGTCTTGGCATTCAATATTTCCCTCCCTCAATATTTTCCCATTTGACACAAATACTGACACAGGTTTTTATTTTGTGTATAAACACTGACTTTGATAGTCCTTATCTATGTGTTGCCTTGCTTCTATGTTATCTTCGGCCCCAACAATGGATGCTCTTTCCATTCTCCCCGCAATCTGGTAAATCTTGTTTTTTCGTCCTTAATCTCCCTTTTTATTTTGCTGCTGATCCATTTCAGCGCATTTTTGCCGAATCTGTTTCTACTACACTTCAGGTATGTACTTGCCTTGCATGCTCCACATAATTAAAAAAAATACCCCTTTATATCCTGATTCTATTTATCCTCGACTTAGATCTGGTAGTCTATGTTAAGGTCATCCAATTAAGGCCAATACCCCTAAAGTTTCCCCATCTAAACTTGTAAATTAGGGTTTGTTTACGTGTTGCACCGTTTCAAAAGTCAGATTGAATGTTATCAGGCTCTGGTCACTAATATGCAGCAGTTCAGTTGCTTCTATTTTTTGAATAACAGTTCAAGTCATTCATATGAACCAAATCTAAGAAAGAGATTCCCTTGTGGGCTCCCTGACACACTGAGTCAGGAAGCAGTCATGCACTCGATTGAGAAGCTCGGATTCTTTTCCCTTTGTTTATTCCCAATTTATGTTGCACTGTTTGAAGACCTACTATTAGTACCACCTTCTCTTCTCATTCATGCTTCTAATATGAATCATAAAGTGATCGGTTGTTCTATTTTGGCCCATCATCCACAACAAAACCTAAATAGCCCTTTAATAGCCATGTTTTTTTCCTGTGATGCCTGTTTAACTTCCCTGATGCCCATAATAAAAGGCACTCTTCACCTTTCTTAGCAGCCTTCCCCTTTCTCTCTCAGAATCGATTTTAAATGATTCTAATTGACACATTTTAGACAGGATTTAAAGACAAATAGAGAGTCGTCGAGAAGGGAAGGGTAGAGGGAGCCAGTTCCAGAGGTTACGAGTGGGGTTGCTAAAAGAGCATAAGAGCATTTCCTTTCTGAGGAGCAGACTGTTTCACTGCTACTGTTAACACAAGTTAAAGAATTAACTGATCAAAAAAGAAGGAAATAGGATTAAACAGAAAATGTGACAAGCATATTTCAAATCCTAGTTGAAAGGAGCTTTCATTTTTTTAAATAACACTTAACCAGTGATAGTGAAAATTCCGGACTTAAAACCAGCAAAAGTATTTTCAAGCTTCCATTATTTTTATGTGATGGATTTTTTTTCTCCACCCATTTTTTCTTTAAATCAGTCATTTTGCCAGTTACTCTTTTAATTTCTCTTTGCTTTCACAATTTTTTTCACAAGCCCCAAGCAATTCATTTTAGCATGGAAAAAAATTCACATAAAGATCCCCAAAACACAAATAAAGCAAAGTGAAAGTAGAGTAATGACCTGGTTATGAGCAGAAATACATTCCATCTTTGTGCACAAGTCACTTTATTAAAAGATGCATGTCACCCCACTTATGAGCCATCAACTTCTGACAATGACAATCTGTCTTTTGTTTCCAAACAACATGAACGGCTTAGAAAGGTAGGTCAAAGTCATCACATCATTGCTAATATCTGTCAATCTGTAGAAGGTTCACAGTTCTGGTATTTGTATATACATCATTATCATTTTACTTCCTTCTACAGCAATTATCATCAAACATGGTTATGCTTATTTTGTTTGGCAAGGAATAGCTGTTTGCGGAACATTTCTGTGCGCAAATTGGCTGCCACGTTTGCCTGCAAATACCCAGTGATTACACTTTAAAGAAAAAGTGCTTTGAGATGCTTCAATGTTACAAGCGCTATACCAGTGGCATGAGGGAGAAAGGAATGGAGGGGGATAGGGAGAGGAGATTAGGAAGACTGATTAGGAAGGAGGGAGTTAAGTTGAGTATGTGCTCGTGACATGGACTACTTGGTATGAATGGCCTGTTTCAGTGCTGTACTCTCTATGTAATTCTAGTTAGACTCCAGCAGTACCCCAAAGCACACTCTCGCTCAAATCCTACCATTGAATTATCAAAGTATCCGTTTTTTCTGCTGTTCTCATGAATAGATAGAAAATAAAGACTATAAAAAATTCATAACCATGAAACCCTTTACAGTATCAGCAACAACTTCCATTTATATAGCGTACCTCACGCAAGATGCTTGTATTATGGGATGTCCTCCCAACAAGAAAGGCACTGTATAAATGTAAATTTGCATTACTGTATAATATCACAAGAGGGATTCACATAATAAAGGCCTTTTGGACCATTTGATATCATGCTTCCAGAATACGCACCCCATTGTCATCCCATCCCATCATCAAGCTATTTTTTAAAAAATTAATCCAGTATGATGGCCTTAATTACCTTTACTGGTAACTTGTTCCAGTTCCAACTCTCTGGGTAAAGAATTACTTCCTGCTGTCTGTCCTGAAATGGCCTTTTGCAACTCTAAACCTGTGCCCTCTTGTTGTGTTCTCTCAATGCATTTGATAGTATTGTTCTAGGTTTACTTTCTAAATCAGTTCAAATTCCTTCCATCCCCCAAGTAAAGCCAGTCACAAATCTAACAGGGTAATAATAAATGACAAGTAAACACCAGCCTATGTTATAAAATCAAAATCTAACAAAAGGTGGAGTGGAAACATTGGCTAGTATGGCAATATTTCAAAGCTTTTTATTTACCTGCAACAAGGTAATATTTTTTCAAAAATGTCCTGCTCCTATTACACTTCTTTCAAATGGGTGCATCAATGTAGCCTGTGTATTTGTATGTATGTGTGTATTTAACTCATAGAAAGCCACTCTAGCTTTTGTTAAGGTTTTGATTTTATAACATAGGCTGGTTCTGTGTATACCAATATTTTTGAAAACTTAAATATTCCAGAGGATGCCAATGTGTTTCTTAGCTCACAGATCAATCAATCACACTCTCTTTAAAAGGCAAAGATGTGTTGAAAAAAAAGTATTCAATGGGAAAGTGGCAAAATAAACAGCGTCTCATGCTGGAATAAGTGCTTGAGTACATTTAGTGACCAGAGAAGATCTCAAGAGCAGTGACAAGTTCTCACAAGTCAGCATGAAATTTATGGAGTTCCTCCAGAGAACTTTATACCCCAAGGCTTTCTTCTTTCTAATGTCAAGCACTAATCATTTGCAATCATTTTCCCCCATGAGCATTTCTTCAAGCCCATAGTTAAAAGTGCCGAAGACCTCTAATGGATCTGCCAGGAAATTTGGAATTATAAACAGCTTCAAAAAGCAAATCCCAAAAAACTTTGCCGCAATCTGGAAAAGTCATTTAAATTTGATAAAGTAAAAGTACCACATATCTATTTTTATATCTCTGCTTGTACTCTTTTTTTAAAGTCACAATGAAGCATGTCCATTTTCACAGGAAACAGCTGCAAATAATGGCAGGACAGGAGAAAAACCCTGCTTTTTAAATAAATAATAATAGAGATATAATTTTGACCCAATTTTTGATCCCATTTTGTAGCCTCAATTGTGCCTTCAGACAAGGCGTTTTCACAGCCAACATTAATCTGCAGCAACTTCCAGAATGAAGTACTGTAAATCTCTTCCCATTTTCTCCATGCATCCCGAATAGGTGCCTAACTAGTAATGTTACAAATTTAAGTATTAATATTATTATTATCAGAACAAGCCACAAACCAGCTAAACTTAGACTGATATAATTGTACACCACATAAAATAATAAATTGGTCACTCATTCCACAACTGTTTGTGGGACACTGCTGTGTGCAACTGGCTGCCCACAATTCACTCACAAAATGCAGTCAATTCACTTTACAGTATATTCTGTGAAGCGCTTTGCAACATCACAAAGACGTGATAAGGCGCTATATCAAATGCAAGGATTATTATTATTATTATTATAAACAGCCCATTTAGCCCAGTTAGTCTTTGCTGGTGTTTTTTTCCACAATGAAGTAACTAGTCTAATCCCACTCTGCTACTCACTCCCCATTTAATGTTCAGTTTTTCAAGCACAAATCTAATTCCTCTTTATAATTATTAAAGAACTTTGCTTCAACAATGGTTTTGGGGGAAATATCTAGGAGTATATTCCAACATTTCACTCTCGAGTTGACACTCATACCAGAAGACACTCCATATCATTCCTGTCATCAAATCTATTTATGTTTACAATAAACAAACTTTTCATCAATATTGTTTGATAATTAGTTTGTCCTCTCTTAAAACTCAGCCTATTCATGCATTATATATAACAATTTCAAAAGTCCTATTTTGCTTAATAAGCACTTAAATAGGTTCAGAAAAAATAAGTCCCATTTATATGATTTGCTTGCAAGGGGTCAAAGAAAACCTTTTTTTGTGTAAAACATATGCAAATCAAATTTTGATGCTCTGTAAGATTCTGAAAGGAGTAAAGCACCTGTATTCATAAAAAGATAAATCTATTTGCACAGCAAGAACAAGGTTTCCCTTTCTGGCTAGCAAAATGTAAGATCATATGATAACAGTTAAATTTCATTTTCCTCAGGAATCACACTCCACCATTTTCATATCCTGTTATTCACAAGAGTATTTTCCTTTTGGCTAATAGCATGAATACATTTTTTCATTTCATTGGCACTTACCATTGAAGAAACTTTTAGCTCTCAGATAGCTGACACTGAGGCGAAGGACAGAAAGTTTGTCCAATTTGGCTACAACATCCTGTGGGAAAGGCAGCAGACTGGCGAGGCGTTCCAGCTCAGCATTCAATCGATCCCGATGCCTTTTTGATGGATTGGACTTTGCTCCTTCTGTGACTAGGCCTTTTCCACTTAAAAGTAAAAAATAAAAGTTTCAGTACAATTCTGAATTTGTACGTTGGTTCATTTAATCGCAACATAAAAATATAAGAAATGCCACTAAAAATAATAAAATAATATTGCATTTGACACAGCAACTTTTACGTGGGGAGAATGCCTGAAAGAGCTGCACAGTATTCACTATCCTGTGTAGTAACTGTGTATTTTGTAGGTGAATATACTTAACTCATTCAAACCCTGAATTAACTTTTAGTGAAAGGAGTTTCTCCCGTTGTCCTGACCAACAATTAAAATGGGTTATAAAACAAGTACAAATCAACCTGCGATAAAACAAGTACTAATAGATTACAATATCGGATGAGATGAAGAAGGCCCTTTGGCCCATTGATCTCATCCTTGCACAATACCCACCCTACTGTCATCCCAGCACAACATGAAGCCGTTTTTTAAAATGATTCCAGCATCCTGGCGTCTGCTTCCTTCCCTTCAGCCCATTCTGAATCCAAGTCACTTGTCCTTGGTACCAAGTGACCTGTTTGTAAAGGTGGTTTTCACATTTCAAATATTAAATACCCTTTGGAAGTCTAAATTTATTAAGTCGAATGGCTTCCCACAGGGTTATAACCTCATCAAAACAATCTATGCTGTTTGGCAGAAAAGACCTACTCCGTTTGAACTTATGTTAGATAAATATTAGATTATTTTATACAAGTAATCTTCCAATTGCTTTGGGACAATTGATTCTATTTTCCAATTAGTGAGTTCAGGCTAATGTGTCTATACTTGCCGGGTGACCTTTCTAGAATATGGGAACAACATTTGTTTGCTTCCTGCGTTGTTGGAACTTCACCAGCAATGATTGATTCCCTCATGATGTCTGCCTACTGCCTCTTGTCCTTAATTACCCTGAGGTACAAATCATCTGTCCCAGGTGATTTGTTTTACTCCTTGAGCTTATCTAGATCTGCAGATTCACTTATGATTTGAGTCTTGGAGCTCAAACAATACTGTGAACAATCGGTCTAATTCTTTCCAACAGCTCGAGATATATTTTTGCTGTGAAGCACATTTTGCTTGGTTCATTAACTGATGCTTACACTTTTAATCAGGAAGTATAAACTCTCCATTTCTGCCTCTAGTTCCCCTGCGTCAATGGCCTAGCAACATCTTCCGTGTATGAGTGCAGCATGTCAAACCACAACGCTGCACTACTGCACTGAATTATTTCAACATCAACTTACAGTGTGGGACCTATCACTGTAAAATACTGAGGTTCCAGCAGGTCCTCAACTTAAAAAAGGCCATTGTTGGCCCAAAATGGAAGGGAATACCTAACAATATTAGCTCTATTAGCACCTTTCATGTACAGAACCCGTCTCAAAGCACTTTACAAAGACTTAATGGGAGCCCGAGCTGGGAGCGGGAAAGTGACTGAAGGCACAGTCAAAGAAGTAGTTGTTTTTTACATGGGTTTTGAAAGCAGAAAGGGAAGTGGCGAGGTCGTAGGATTTTGAAAGAGTTGCAGAGGGTGGGGACAAACAGGCTGACAGCTGGTGGAGAAGAACGGGAAGAGCAGGAAGCAGGCAGAGTTGGCAGAGTGAGGTGAGTGGCAAGGGTGTAGGGTCACTGGATGTCACATAGATTGGGTGGTGTAAGGTTGTGAAGGCTTTAAAGTTAAGGACGAAGATATTAATGTTCTGTTGGGGGAGAAGGAGCTAGCGGAGCTGGGTGAGGATTGGTTCTTGGTATCTAGCACAGCAGAGGATACAGGCTGCAGAATTTTAAATGGTCTGGAGTTTGCGGAGGATAATGAACATTGGGGAGGCTAGGAAGCAGGGCATTGAAAAACGTAAGTCTGGAAGTGACAAAGGAGTGGATAAGGATTTTGTCTGCGTTGGGAGTGAGGTGGTGGTGGCAGAGTCAGGTGATGTCCTTCAAGTACTATTGTAATAATTTAAAAAGTTTAGTATTGGGTCAGCCTGGCTCAGTCGGTAACACTCTTTCATCTGAGCTACAAGGTTGTGGGTTTAAGCCTTACAAATACAGTCACTACACTTTACAGTATATCTTGTAAATTGTTTTAAGATATCCTCCTGACCTGAAAGGTGTTACATAAGTAAGGATTAGTATTAATATTATTGTAATCTACATGAGAGTATCTTGTACAGCCACTTATTGTTTCCCTTTCAGAACTTAAGTAAATATTCAGGTTTGGCTTAAAAAATAAAAGTTTCCAATTGAAAGTAATAACTTGTAATAACACAATGTGAATAATGAATTCACAATGCGAATTCTAAATGATTGAAACCACAATTTCATGAAATCGTTTCAAAGTCTAAGTGAGTCATGAAGTAAAGATCATGGCAAATAAGTATCATCTCTAGCTGGTGGGGCAACTGTCATGTAATCTCTTAATTCTTTGTAAAAGAAACACATATACGTACAAACCACAATGGCACGTGCAGTTTGAGAGTGTGGAAAGTTCTGCAAACATGACTGGATTCACAAAGCAGAGGCAGAAATCAGATTTAGATTTGGTCAATCTCAGGAAACAGGTTCATCCTCTAATACATGTTAAGGAGAGGGGGTTTCTGTTTTCTTCAGAAAAGGTTTCAGCCTGGCAACCCAGTTGGCAACACTCTCACCATCTGAGGCAGAAGGCTATGAGTTTAAGCCCCATGTCAAGACGTTGAGCTCACAGTCCAGGCTGATGCTCCAATACAATGCTGGAGGAGTGCTGCATTGTCAGAGGTGCTGTCCTTCAGATGAAACGCTAAGCCAATGTCTGCATTTTTAGGTAAACATGAAGGATCCCATGACACTATTAGAAGAAAAAGGGAGTTTCTCCAGGCCAATAATTCCCCAGATAAAAAAAAATTGATTATTTACTTCATGAATGTCTGTGGGACATAGCTGTGCTTAAATTGGCTGCCAGGTTTGCTTACAGTAACTAAAAACCTGAAGTGCTTTGAATCATTTCACTACATCAAAGGCAGTGTATTACTACATACAATTGTGAAGGGCCATTTCACTTGGCTTTTACAAACCATTAATTGAAAATAAATAGGATTTCAGTGTTATTATTTTAATTTGACACAGTACTATTTCATGCTGAAATGTTTCAGTGTTTCACAAAACAAAGTGTTATTTCAAAATGCAGTACTTGTCAGCTAATAATGTATTGAAACAGCAACAAAATAAATTTAATCTGATTGTTAGTGAATTTAGATGAGGGGGAAGAACATTGGCCAGGACCCCAGAAGAACTCCCCACTCTTTTTCAGCATTAGTGCTATGGGCTCTTTGATAACCATGTGAATCACCAGAACGAGTTCAAACCCAGTTCAATTACTAAGCATGGGGGCGTTTAATGTGCAGTTATACCACAGGCACTGCTTCAAACCTATGGAAATTTCACGCAGGCTGCATTTTAACCTCCGCCAATTCCACAAAATGCTCTCCTTAACCGCAGTGCATCACTGCACATGTGGTTACTCTTTCAGCCACCACCACCCAAATTCCAATTTTATAAAAAAAATCACAACGTTAGCAAAGACACGGTTACCTGATTATCAGCTGTTCATTAACATTAAACAAATTAAAGGCAGCTCCACTGACAACTCAATAGCTGAACAATAGTAATAATCCTTGCATTTGATATAATGCCTTATCACGTCTTTCAGACATTTCGATGAGCTTCATAGGATATACTGTAAAGTGTAGCGACTGTGTATTTTGTGGGCGAAACATGGCAGCCAATTGCACACAGCAGTGTCACACAAACAATCGTGGACTGAGTGACCAAATTATTACTTTTTGTTGAAGCGATTATTACCCCCGGAAATCGATCCGCCAATCGGCTAACAACCGGGTTCCTACTTCCTAGGTAAACAGAGGTGTGTGTGGAATAAGAAAACTTGCCTAAGGTTTCGCCCTGTCCCAGGAAGACAACCCTGGTCCTCTTGCTTGCGAGGCGAGTGCTCTAACCAATACGTTACAGGACTCCTTTGTCTGGACTCCAGGTCTATAGGACTCCAGGTCTGATCCTTAGTCTATACTGATGTTGCCCCTAGTCTTAGCACGAGCAACATCAGGAAGGAAAAAATAATCTGTGTTGCCACATCTGACTGCTACCCAGTGACTGCCTGTAGGAGGTTGTGTGTGTGGATGTCGAGTGAGGATAAGATTGGGCTCAGCTGCAGAAAGGCAGGCATTTTAATGTAACACATGCGCAAACATAACCAAGAGAGGCTATTAAGAATAAAACTGGGTAGTTGCAGTTTTGTTTATCCACGTTTGCCAGTTTTTTTGTTCAATTTAGTGTCTCCAATTTCTTTTCTGAATTTCTTCCCACTGGCACACGCCTCTATCACGCCACCATTCCCAGTCTGGCTTCCTCTTGCTGGGAGGCAGTTCCACAGGCCTCTCCTGTAGCTCGCCCAAGTGGCCATTGTTCAGGTCTGAGCCTTGGCAATGAGTGTTGGTAAGCCACTCAATGTAGAATGTGTCACAGCCGATTTTGACCTCTTTACCCGGCTGCCCATACCTGCGCAACCATTAGAGGGACACAAAGCAGGAACCCTGACTGTTTATTTCCTCCTCACAAAACTTGGGAAAGCTGGGACAAATTTAGCCTTCACATGCATCGTGGGACCAGAAAGCCCATCACAGACCAGGATTGGAATCAGCAAGCTCCTTGTCCTTGCAGGTCTCTCCACTACACCATTGACACACACTGATCCATGTTTCACATCTTCATGTTAAAAACAGACCAATAGGGTCATCTAGGTTCTTAACAACAAATTCTGTATCTAACTGATCGCCATCAAAAGTTAAAATCAGTGAACATTTTTTCTTCCTTTTTCTCAGACTTTAATTTAGGCCTAAAGTAAAATGATTCATTCACATGTACAAGCTGCAGTGATCAACAATGCATATAGCAGCAGAGAGTTAGAAGAAGCACATTTCAGGTCTGATCTAGGATTAAATCCAGTGCAGACTGACGGGCTGGA